TGAAAAATTCTCACAAGAGCATATATATATATATATATATATATATATATATATATATATATATATATATATATAAAGTATCCTTATCTAGTGTGTATATTAATATAGACGATTTTGACATAATTTCGCTCATGTATTAATAGAGAGTAAGTTGTATTAATATAATAGCACGTGCCTTTTTAGATTTGTACACCCTTCTTTAATTTTGTTCTAATCACTTTCCATTTTAGATCGTTGTTTAATATTCTACTCACTTTACTTTATTCTATTTATGACATAGCCCTTACCATCTTACTACTTCATTTTTTTTTTTTTTTTTTGACAATAGCATAATACCATCTTACCACTTCAATCCCACAAAAATAATACTTTACTTTATCTTATTCACCTTTTTCTTACACTAAGCCATCCTTTTACATTCTCTCTTTTACTTTATCGTATACTCGGCCATAACATTCAAGTATTCAACAACTTCTTAAATTGCGTATCTATAATAAGTGAGTAAGACAAAAGAAAAAAGAAGATAATGTTTATTACTCGCATAGGCTCATTGATTTGTCTTTTAAGGCATGTTCTGATTTATTGAATTGAGCTGAACTAAACTAAACTTACTGGAGCTGAAATGAGATGAATATTTTATGAGAGAAGGAAATTAAAAACTGAACTTATTGAAGCTGAATTGAACTGAATTGAAGTGAAAATAAGCGGAAGAGAACAAGCCCTTAAACACATTTAATAGTGTTTAGTTTAAAATTTTTTTTATAGACATTTACTAGTGGTTAATTATTGATGTTTCTTATAAACATTTAATAGTAATAACAATTGATGTTTCTTACTCCAATATAAACATTTAATAAATTACATTATTGATTTTCTTATAAACATTAATGCACTTAATAGGTATCACATGAGCAAATGACCCCGGTTTTACGGTACACTTAGGTGTATATAACAATTTCTAATTATATTTGCGAGGTTAGTGGGTGTAAGATTTTTTTTTTACTAGAAATTTATATAATTTGAATGTAATCTTTATATTTTGCATAATTGGTCAATTTAGGGCTTATGTTTGATGTGTAATTATGAAGGATCCAAAAGACGGAAATTGGTGGCTTGTAATAGGGACAAACATCATACAAGGGTTTTGGCCAGGAAAGATATTCAATGGATTGGCAAATTCAACAACTTTTGTTTCATTTGGTGGAGAAGCATATGGCCCTATCGATCAACCTTTACCACCTATAGGATCTGGTTACAGAGGTATTGCAGCCCCGGATGTTGCCGCTTATGTTCTTGGAGTTACAGTGTTGGATGAAAATTTAAAGGAAGATTATAATCCTGTAGAAACTGAGACGTATACTGATGATCCACAATATACAGTCACTGATTATGGATGGTCTAATAAATATGGACGCATAGTGTTCTACGGTGGTACTACTCCAGTATGATGTACGTAGTGATACTATTTGCTATTTTTATTGATAAACATTAATAAAATTCTTCAACATTTCATTCTTAACAAGTTTCCTAAGATTAGTGCGTGGAAAAGCACTATAGACCAGGTGAAAATGAGCCGAAATGAATACAACTATATATTTTAAGCAAATGCGATGCACATGTTTCTAATTATAATTAAATTTAATATTTAATTTTTAATCGTAATAACAAATATTAATCTAATTGAATAACCCCTGACCAAATAACTCTTGACCAACCGGGTAACCCCTGACCAGCAGAGTAACCCTTAACCAAATATCCTGGCCTTAGTTGGGTGGGTAACCCCTGACTAATTGAGTAACCTCAGTTTGACCTAGTAATCCCGGCCTTTATTGAACTAGTAACCCCTGACCAAGACCATTTTTACCAAAAAAAGAAAAAAATTGTGGCTAGCCACATAATATAAAAGTTTATGTTAAAGTAGCAATAAAGTTTTATCAAGATATGATAACACTACATAAATATGCTTGCCGATGCATATTTTGAATTGTTAATATCTTTGATTACCAATATAGATATAGATTTTGGGCAAACTCAAATATTTTTTTCTAACATGGTGACAAAGGATTTCATTAATAAAAGATAACCAAAAGATACTTACAAACAATTTCTATGAATTCTTACAAAACCAACTCAAGTAGATAACATCTTAGAACTAATAATATCGTAGATTCAATCAACAATCGCCTAAAAAACTTCATTTGGAGTAATACTACCTCTGTCTATTGTTATGTGTAACTTTGAGATATTATTTGTGAGATAAATATTTCAAAGTTGCACATAACATTTAACGGAGGTAGTATATAATATGTGATTTAGCTAAATCGACAAAAAGATCCACTAATGCATAGTCTTTTGGGTGAAAACATTCATGTTATTCAATGGATACTTACCACATATGTGATTAAGAAACCCTATATCATTAATATATAATATCATAATATGTGATTAAGAAACCCTATATCTTTAATACTCCCTCCATCCCCGAAAAAACGACCTATTTGAGTTGATTACGCGGGTAGTAAGAAAGTTAAATAAGAAGAAGTAAAAGTATATTGAAAAGATAAATTTACATGGGGTTTGTAAAAAAATAGAGAGAGAAAGTAATAACATTACATGAAAAATCAAATTTTATATGGAAAAGCTAATTTTGCACAAATATTATTGCAAATTGGTGGGTATTTTAATGTAAATGGATCATTCTTTTTTGGACTAAAATTAGGCCAAATGGGTCGTTCTTTCGGAAACGGAGGTAGTATATAATATCATAATTTAATCTAGACGAATTTAACAAATCATAACCCCTAAATTGGCTAAATAGCACAAATCCACATACCACATCGAAATTATTCAACATAGGAAATAAAACCCTACGTCTTTGACATATTGTACTATGCTCTTTAACCCAAAATTTAACAAATAGTTTTACATTAAAAATTCAAACAAAATATAGCAAGATCGAGAAAGGGAGGGACAAAAAGGAGAAACCGTTCAAGCATTTAATTGAATTTGTGTTGCAGATGGAGATGACTTTATTGTATTCAGTCCAAGATTTTGACTAAAAGACCATAGAATCATTACATCATTGTGTGTATATGAATAAAAAAAAAATGACAAAGGAAAACTTATTCAAACCTGAATGAGAGAACGTTTATATATACGGGAAAAGAGAGAAAACTTATTCAAAACTTATTTTGGTTCAAGATTTATAAAAAATATTTTCCAAAATTTAAGACCTAACTACTGGAAATTAAATCAGACTATTGCAACTATAAATGTATTTTTTTGGGAAAGACATACAAAAGCAACATTTTATACCAAGTTCAATTGTTCAGAGTACACCAAATTAGTGTTACAACTTAGGCTCTGTTCTCTTCACCTTACAAAAATAATATTAAGTAAAAATAATTTCAGTTCAGTAAAAATAAGTTCAGTTCAGTAAAACTAATTTCAGTTCAGTAAAAATAAGTTCAGTTCAGTAAAATTCAGTTTTCTTAAAAAAGAATTATAATAGAAAAACAGTAAAAATAATTTCAGTTCAGTAAAAATAATTTCAGTTCAGTAAAATTAAGTTCAGTTCAGTAAAAATAAGTTTTGTTCAATAAAAACAATTTCAGTTCAGCAAAATTAAGGTGAATCAAACGGGGCCTTACAACTTAAATTCCAGCGACCCTTTCCAAAAGCGTCAATGAAAAAACGTCAAAATGTGTAACAATTATTGGTTTGAATAGGTATATATATGTGTCATACTTATTTTTACTGTACGGAAATTATATTTGCTGAACTAAACTTATTTTTATTGAACTAAAATTATTTTTACTAAATATTATATTTTAAAGGTGAATTAAACGGGGTCTTATTCTTTTTAATTTTGCATTCCTCTAATTCGTCATGTAGTAATCTTGCCAAGGATAATACAAGTTAAACTATTTTCTATTACTGAAAATTAAGAATGGTTTTCATTCACGTTCAAGTTTCAACAATCTCCCACCACAAGAATTGATTTTAATCTGTCTTCACACCATACTCCATGCAAATATGCAACACAACTTCATCTTCTAATTTATTGCGTTATTCACATCTAAATTAAAAATGAATTCCCTAGATTTAGCCGCCTCGTGAAAATTCAAAGTTTTTGAAATGAATTCATCAGATTTTGATATAATTTCGCTCATGTATAATGTATTAATAGAGTAAGGGCCTATTCTCATTGACTGAACTGAGCTTAGCTGAACTGAAATAAACTGAATTAAACTTATTAGAACTAATTTGAACTGAACTGATTAGAGCTAAAGTGAATTGAATATTTTATAAGAGAAGCAAATTAGGAGCTGAATTGAACTGAACTGAACTTATTAGAGCTGAACTGAAAATAATCGTATAAGAACAAGGCCTAAGTTATACTACGGAGTATTATAAACTATAATTATTGATGTTTCTTATAAACATTTAATAATGATAATAATTGATTTTTCTTACTCTAGTAAAAACATTTACTCCCTCAACTTCGACCCTTTTGGGTCGATTTTGCGGTTATTAAGAAACTTAAATAAAAATAAATAAAAATATATTGGAAAGATAAATTTACATGGGGTTTGTAAAAACTAGAGAGATAAAGAATTAAAAATACATGAAAAAATAAAATTTTATGGGGAAGCTAATTTTGCACAAATATTGTTGTAAATTGGTGAGTATTTTAATGCAAATGGGACGATCATTTTGATATTAAAATTAAGCCAAAAGGGTCAAAGTTTTGGGGACGAAGAGAGTAATAAATTACGTTATTGATTTTCTTATAAACATTCAATTGTATTTAATGTTGTTTATGTACTATTAAATGTTTTCCATATCTTTAATGATTTTTTTGGATAGAATATCTTCTCTAATTAATGACATGTGACAAAAATTAAATACTTTCACATTATTAATTAAAAAAAAATTAATTTTCTTTTACGAGTATATATATTACACAACACAAGCTAGGCTTAATAATGTCATACTATTAAGAGCTGCATTTGGTAGAAGAAAAATTATAAGGTTTGTATGAGGTAATAATTAATAATTTTACTTTAAAATAGTTTCTTGGCTTATTGATTAATTAATTTTATGAAACCTTAATTTGCAGTATGATGGTTGTAAAATGTCTAGCGTACTTGGTTGCTTTGCTGTTACTTCTACTCAATTATGGAGCAAACGGTCATCGTGTGTCTAGAAAGGTGCTTGATTATGAAAAACAATTTAAACTCCTCCAGAAAACAAGTGTTACAACGATTAAGGTAAGTTATTTATTTTTATAGATTGTATTATTGTAGAGTATAAAATATCTTCTCGATCAACTGGGTAATTTTCTAATTGATTTATTTATATTCATTATAAATCAACTTGACCATTGGTTACGACACAATTTTATTATTTGGTGATTTTGTCAACAAATATCGGTAAAGTTTTCATTACTGCAAATAGGGTTGGTAAAAGGTAGGATCGGGGTCCGTTCAAAAAAAAAAAAAAAAAAAAAAAAAAGGTAGGATCGGGTCCAAATTTGTTTAATGGACACAAATCCGCAAGTAAATTTTTCGCTTTTAAAAATTAGGAAATTTTGATTTTTATCTCTAAAAAAATTTTGAAATTGGTTCCTAACACCACCAAAAAAAAAATTAACACTGCCAAAATTTTTAAAAATAGGTTTTACCACCATTTAACCGATCCCGTCCAAAAATCCGTTAAGTGGGGGCCATAGAGCCATGTGTCATTTTGTTATTGGCCAAAAAAGAAAAAAAATACTAAAACTATCCAGCCCAACCTTCTTCTCCGATCCACCCTCACACAAACACAACCGCCAACCCCCGACACTCCCCCTCCCTGAGCCCTAAACCCACCCCATTGAAATCCACCCCTCCCTCTTCCTAGCCCTAAACCGCCCTACCACCGCCAATTTTAAGCCCCTTTCCTAAAAAAGAAAAAAAAAAAAAAAAAAAAAAAAAAAGACAGCCACAAATTCAGCCGATTATGGGGCTAAGTGGCCTAAATCGACATAGGGGCCGAATTCGTGGCCATTGTTTGGGGAAGAGGGCCTTAAGTTTGGCGGGGTTAGGGTGGTTTAGGGCTGGAGGCCGGGAAGGGACGAGGAAGGTACCGGTAGAATAAGTTTAGGATGGGGGAGGGGGTGTGCCACGGTGGGGCGGAGAAGAGGGTGGCGTTGGTGGGGATAGGGTGGTTGGGTAGTTTTAGGAATTTTATTTTTATTTTTATTTTTTAAAAAAAACTAATAACATGGCAACACGTGTCATTGTAACGGATTTTTGGATGACATAATATAAATTGTTAAGTGGTGGTACTATACAAATTTTGAAATTTTTTGTAGTGTTAATTTAAATTTTTTTTTTGGTATTAATTTCAGCTTTTTTGGTGTTAAAAATCAAAATTTCTTAAAAACTACGAAGTATTAATTTAGATAATTTTGTAAAAAAAATCTAAAAAAATTTAAACGCTTTTTAACAATATAATTACAAGCTTAAATCATTATTTTTCCAAAACTGACAAAAATTAAAGTTTTAAAATCTAAAAAAAAGGGTCTTAATATAAGAAACACTTAAGAATATAACTTATTTTTATTAGGAAAGTCAAATCAAATAAATTTTTTTTGAAGGAAAGTTAAATCAAATAATTAACTATTCTTAAATAATCTTTTATTTCTTATTATTATAATTATTCTTAATAATACTTTGTATCATGATATAATACTTCGGTCCTGTTACTTCACCTAAAAGATAATGTTTAGTTTTAATAATTTTAGTAAAATTAATTTCACTTCAGTAAAAATAAATTCAGTTCAGCAAAATATTTTCAATTCAGTAAAAATAACTTCACTTAAGTAAAAATCAGTAAAGTTAAAGAAGAAATATAATAGAAAATCAGTAAAAATAATTTCAATTCAGCAAAAATAATTTCATTTCAGTAAAATTTATTTCAGATCAGTAAAAATAATTTAAGTTCCAAAAAATAATTTCAATTCAACAAAAATAAGGTGAAATGGACGGAGCCTTCCTCTATTTAAATTGCTTCCTTATATATCTATAATAATTTATGAATAAAGAAACATAAATTCTAATTATTCAATTTGTTTTTTTCATTAAGAAAGAAAGATATGCGGCAATAGAAAAATAATTAAATATAAATAATTTTTTGGTACGTATATTTAGATAAGTGACGTGGGATTATCTTTGAAGAAAAACCAATGTCTAATCCTTTCTCAAAAAAAAAAAAAAAAAAAAAAAAAAAAAAAAAAAAAAAAACATCGGAGTAATAAAAGAAAAAGTCTATTCTGAGGATGGATATGCACTAGCTAGGAATAATTTAGAATTTTTTTTCAAGTTGTGAATAAGTTGTAAGATTCATATAAGAGCTCAAATAAACAAATGGAGTAGCTGTTTAGAAATTTTAAATTTTAAGTAGCCGTTCACAAAAATGGAAACATAAAAGGTAGTTATTGGAAGGGAAAAATAATTATATTATACAAAATTTACAAGTTAAAGCCTTAAAGGTAACAAATTAAACTAAATATTTTGCCTAAAAAAAAACTAAATATTTTGATCTTATTTGCAGAATGAATATGGAGACATATATGATTGTGTAGACTTTTATAAGCAGCCTGCTTTCGATCATCCACTATTGGCAAACCATACATTCCACCCTGAGGTTCAAGTGAATACATTCATATTGTCAATATAAATATTAAAGTATTATTTCTGTACATTTGTCTTATTTATGCATGTTTACATTATTCATTTAGATGAAACCGTCTAGTTTCGCTCTTAAAGAAGAGCGAACAATTTCCAAAGAAAGAGAGATACTTTCTAATAATATGAAGTCAAGAGGTAAAGGCTGCCCAACAGGAACAATTCCTATTAAAAGAATGAGCAAGGATGATTTTATCAAAATGAAACGATTTACAGAAGATTACACTTCAAGAACCAGAAGTAATGATTTTGAAAATCATGTAAGTGTTTTTATTTTTTAACCAAGTAAAATTTGCATACTAAATACTAGCTTTAAGAGATTTTGTTATCTACACACCCAAGATTATTTTTTCATTTATTAAAATTTGTTCACAAAATGCCAACTTTATGGGAGATTATTATGTGTCTCTGGGTGTACGATGCCCATGAATATGTTTTATACTCTATCACATTTGGATGATTATTGTTTGTTTAATCATTAAATGAAGAGCAAAGACTAGCCTGGGTTAGTTAGGTGGAGCATGAATCCAAGCGTGTAAAAAAAAAAAAAAAAAATCACCATATTAATGAATACAAGCTTGTTACATAATTATTTGTTGTTTTCGCATCAGTTTGCTGTTCTTCAAACAACTCCTAATCCAAGTAAAAAGATTTATCATGGAGCGAAAGGTATATTCACTTATCATGACCCCAAAGTTAGCGATTCTCAATATACTTTGGGTGGATTGACAATTATGAATGGAGATGATACAATAAAAGCGGGATGGATGGTAAGTCATCAATTAATCAAAGTTTTATTATTCATACTTTGTTTTAATTGTTTACTATAAATATGTAGTATTTCACTTGCCTTATTTATTAACTTTTCGAGGTTATAATTTGTCTTGTGTTTTTGTTTTCAGAGGTTATAATTTTTCAGTTTTGACCCATTTAAAAAGGTTTTTTAAGATTTTAAGTTTTAAAATTTGTAAATACCATGATATAATTAGTAGATTTTTATTAAGTTTGGCCCAAGCAACCAACCCTACAAGGTTTAATTATACATCTAATAATATCAATTTATGCCGAAAAGTAAAATTAAAAAAATTGATTATAAGTAGGCAATGATTATGATTTGAGGATAGGTAAATTAAAATAGAAATTAGATACGAAAAGAAAGACTTTATCACTATGCTAGTTAGCTAGCTAATTCGTTTTTTAGTCCTTTTTTTTTTTTTTTTTTTTTGTATTTTTTGTAGTTTGCTAAATAAATGAGTTAAATTTATTACCTTTAGCTTGATAAACACTTTTTTCCATATAAATATAGATCAATCCAGCAGTAAACAAGGACAATCGTACTCGACTTTTCCAGTATTTCAATGTAAGTATACGATAATTATCTTTTTCTATCTTAATTAATATACTTAGGCCCTGTTCTCTTCACCTTAATTTTACTGAACTGAAATTATTTTTACTGAAATGAAATTATTTTTACTGAAATGAAATTATTTTTACTGAACTTAAATTAATTTTACTGAACTGAAATTATTTTTGCTAAACTAAAATTATTTTTTTTTTTTACAGATTTTCTATTTTGATTCTTCCTTAAGAAAACTGAATTTTACTGAACTGAACTTATTTTTACTGAAATGAAATTATTTTTACTGAACTGAAATTAATTTACTAAACTGAACTTATTTTTACTGAATTGAACTTATTTTTACTGAACTGAAATTATTTTTACTTAATATTTTTTTTAAGGTGAATAGAACAGGGTCTTATTATGTGTATGTACTATTAATGCTTACTATTAAAAGGCTAACTATAGCAAAAATATATAATTTAATTTTTTTTCTTGTTTTTTTAGGGTGGTTCATCGCATTGTTTCAATATGTTATGTTCTGGATTTGTTAATGTTAATAAAGAAGCACCAATTGATGACGTGCTTGAACCAATGTCAAAAAGATGGGGAAAAATATATGGTATAAAACTCAGTATATTTAAGGTAAATACTGAACTTTGATGTTTTTAGCTATGTATTAAAAATCTTTTAAATTAAAGTTTTTCTTTTAATAGTTGTTGATTTTATATATTCCACTGGGTTAGTGGGCATAAGATTTGTTGTTTCTAGAAAATTATATAATTTCAATGTAATCTTTATATTTTGCATAATTGGTCAATTGAGGGCTAATAATATATATGCTTGGTATGTTTGATGTGTAATTATTAAGGATCCGAAAGACGGAAATTGGTGGCTTGTAATAGGGACTGAAAACACCATACAAGGGTTTTGGCCAGGAAAGATATTCAATGGATTGGCAAATTCAGCAACATTTGTTTCATTTGGTGGCGAAGCATATGGCCCTGTCGATCAACCTTTACCACCTATAGGATCCGGTTACAAAGGCATCGCGTCTCCAGATGATGCTGCTTATGTTCTTGGAGTTACAGTGTTGGATGAAAATTTAAAGGAAGATTATAACCCTGTTGAAACTGAAACGTATACTGATGATCCACAATATACAGTCACTGATTATGGATGGTCTAATAGATATGGACGCATAATGTTCTATGGCGGTACTACTCCAGTATAATATAATGTACGTAGTGCTACTATTTCTATTGATAAACATTAATAAATTTCTTCAACTTTATTTTCAAGAAATTTCATATCAATTTTCCTAATATCGGTAAGCAAATGATCTGAAAATCTTAGTTCTACGCCTATTGAATATCAATTTTGGGCAAAATCGTTTTTTTTTTTTTTTTTTTTTTTTGACTAGATGGAAAAGGATTTCATCAATAGATGAAGCTATTGTTCCTTCTATTTCAAGTAATTGGCATAGATTGCCTTTTAACTCCTTCTAAAGGGGTCTCATTCAGTTTTTAGTTTGGATTTACGTCAAATCCAATCTGATTCAACGGAAAAAAAATCAATTTTCAAATTTACAATCCAATTTGATGTGTATTCCACACCAAATAATCTGATCCAATTTGAATTTAATTTAGCTTCATTTTTTTAGTGCCTAATGTGATTATGAAAATTAAATTGGCCCAAACCCATAATATAAATAAAAGTTTTATAAATATAATTTTACTAGAAGGTTTTGCGTAGAACGGACTCACGTAAGACTATTTGATAGGAATGAAATTTTTATCTATGTAAATGAAATTTCGTAATTTCAGCGTTTTAGGAGGCGGGACTATTTGATAGGAATGTTTAAAGAATGTCGTACTTTTTGTGTAACAAGCATTTTTTTTTTCCATTTCTTAAGAATCCGTGTTCTTAGGGCCTGTTCTCATTGACTGAACTCAGCTGAACTGAACTGAACTCAACTGAACTGAAATGAGCTGAACTGAACTGAACTGAACTAAATTATTTTATAAGAGAAGGAAATTAGGAGCTGAACTGAACTGAATTTCAACGTAAGAAAACATGCCCTTGAGAGTCCTTACGACAAACATTACTAAGGTCTAAAGCAATAATTTAAATTACCGCAATTAATTCAGTAGTCATTTAATTAGTTTCAATTGTGATTTAATTAATTTTTGCCGACTATTATATGTTGTTAATTAAAAAGTATGAGAACTCCATATCATGTAGCTCAAATTGGTTAAAGAAACCTTGTAGCAGTCTCCAAGTCTTTATAAAGCTATACATTCATTGAATCATCACTTCTTTTAGCCGATTTTGATTGAAAGATTGACATTATTATTGAGTAAAAAACTTAATTATGAAAAAATACATTATTGGGATTTCCTAATTACTTCCAGCCTATACTAGCGTTTAGTATCATAGAATGTAATGTGCTCTTCAATATATATATGGGCAAACGACGTTGGAACAATTCAAGTTCAATTCTAGTACCAAATTACATATCACTTGAAAAGAATTACTGTATTCTTTCATAAGATAAAAATATTTGATGCAATAATGTCATAGAACAAAATCAATGTATTACAACTTAACGGGATCCAAAAAGAAAAAATCTAATATACTTGAGGGTACAATAATTTCTCTCGGAATAATCATATTTACAAATTGGACACCGGCAATCGCATTTCGAAAACCAATCACCAATGCAGTGACAATGGAAGTTATGCCTGCACTTTGGAAGAATCCGAAGCAATTCTCCGTCTTCAAACGGATAAATACATATGGCACAATCTACGTTACTAAACTCTGTCTGCCTATCTTCAGAGTATATATCTAATGGAAATCTCCTATATAATTTTTCAGATAATTTGCGCTGGATATAATGTCCTATTAAATAATAATAACGAAAAATATAGGCTATCAATACTATTACAATAATAATTATTGCTACACAAATGGGTACAAAATATTTGCTCTTGAGTGTCGTTTCCATGACATGCGTTTTTCCATAGACTACCGGCAAGATTGCAAGGCGCCTAGATTATGCACAAACATGCATGAATTAAGTATCAATGAACTTAAAAAATTTCAATTCATTACACATTTACACGTATAACATACCTGATACCCCCCATAAACTAAATGATGATAATATTCAAATTTAAACGAAATTTTGACAATTACCACCTTCTATTATGTTCGTTTTAACAATTATCACATTTTATTTTATTTTTTTTTTTTTTGAAAATTACCACCTTCTATTTTGTAGAACAACAAAAACTCCCACCTAGTTGCCTCCCAACTGCCTAATGACGTCATGTGGGGCCCACTTTTACCTTCCCTCCTCTTTTTTCCTCCCATTTCCTCTATTCTCACTCGATTTTCATCTTTCCTGTCTCTCTTCTCTCCCCTTCGCCATTAATATCAATTCATCCAACAACCTCACCCACCTCATTTGTTCAAAAAATGTACTCCCTTGCGTCACATCCTCTTTCTCTGGCATAATTCTTGGTCAAAAAAGTTGCAGCATTGTCCCAAATTTGTACCTTATTCCAGGCGGCATTGTAAGAGAATAGAATTGGGTGGAAAACGATAGTGCTGAAAGGGGGACCAAGCTAGGAGGAATTTGGTTGTTGGAATTAGCAAAAGGGAGTAAAAAGCAAGGTAATTTGACTTTAATCGGTAAAATTGTCAAACCTTTGCTTAGCTATAACTACTTATAAGTTAGAGAATCAGGTCATAATTCACAAATTGTTGTTAATTACTTCACCAACTGAATACCCTGACCCCTAATTTGAATTGCAAAACCCTAATTTCAACTACATACATTGATTTAATCCCCAAATTGAACATCAAAAACCCTAAAATCAATTGAAACCCCCTAAATTAAGATGAACAACGTACCCTTCTTCGTGGAATTGTTGTCATGTTGCAGCAACACCAAATATTGTTCATGAATTTTGGTTTGGAGGAGTGAATTGAAGTGTTTCTGATTTCTTTGAGGGAAAAAAAGTGAAAGGGGAGATGAAAATCGAGTTAGGAATGAGAAATGAGAGGGAAATTGGGAGGGAAGGTAAAGAGTGGAGCCCAGTTGACGTCATATGGCAGTTAGGATGCAAGAAGGTGGTAACTTTTGATGTTTTAGAAAAGAGTAGGTGGTAATTTTCAAAAAAAAAAAATAATACAAGGTGGTAATTGCTAAAATGGACATAAGAGAAGGTGGTAATTGTCAAAATTTCCTAATTTAAATTCCATAAACCCATAACTTGTATATCCTAATCGTCTAACTAATAAATAAATTAACCGCATATGATTTATATAAGCAGTATTTCAATTTGTTCCTCGTACAAATTGAAGTATTAATATAAGTTAGATAATGTATACTCCGTATTTCATTTAAAAAATGATTTTTTATAAAATAATATAATTAAGCTATATTTTTTGTAACATACAATATAAAGTCAAAATAAAGTAAGGATTATATTAGTTATATTATAGCAACCGTGTAAACCATAAAACATGATCGCAATTCTCAAATTCGCACCTTATTATTATTTTTGATGTTTAGAGAGTCACAAGGGCGGGGTGAGAACCCGATCCTAAGATCTCCTGAAATCGGGAGGGAAGCTCTAACTACTTGAACTATCCTCACTCTCACACCTTAAACATGCTTGTACATGACAATACTCATTAATACTTCGTAAGTAGCTAATATCTTACCAAGAATAGCAGATTATATGCAAAATTGTGTGTATGTAACGCGTAAATTAGTGTAATTAGTGTTTATATTTTTATAATTTCTTAAAGTTTTACAATTTTTAAGTGTTAATTTAATGTTTATATATAGCCCTAAGGGCTATATATAACATTTTTCAAATATTAATAATCAAGAAAAGTAGATAAATAATTGATCATATAGTATTAAATGAGCTACTTGTGAGTTTAATGAGTGAAAGCAATACCAGTAAGCCGTTGCATTAAACTTATTATTTTCCCATGCATATTTCCTCAAAAAAAAAAAAAAAACTTATTTTACCATGTTATCAGTAGTCTCAACAATGAAGTGAAACCTTGTGGAGCACCAGCAGCAACCAAACCCGAAAGCAGTGATCGTGGGAATCGGCCTTGACGCCCATAAGAAGAAGTCGAAGTTTGAGATGATGCCATGGCAGCGCAGTTAATGTTACAAGATATTGCCTTAATTGTGAAATGAAAATCAAATAAAAAAATATGAGTTCTTTTATTAGTTATTCAGTGAAAAAACTTAAGTATATTATAATTTATGCACATTTGCAATGATATTTATACTAATACACAAACACAGATCATTAGTACTAGTAATCAAACTCTTTACGTAACAAACTCGATCATTCATTAGAATTAAGTAAGTGTATTTTCTAATTAAATTCTATTACTTCCCAAGTTTAGTAATTAATTTAAGCAAGTGTCATCTACATATAAACCACTGTTTAATAATTTTTGCCAATAACATACATACTACCACGTTGTAATCCTAAATCAATACAAATGCGGCAAATTTTTAGAAAATTAATTCATGAAATGGATTCCTACAATATCATTCACTATGAATTAAATTGAATTGATGCACTCACTAATTCATACTCCGTACTAAACTTGGGAATTTGACATGTTTAGGATTGTCTAGCTTAATCGACTTGTGAGTATGACTCACTTCCTTGGCATATTAGCATGTAAAATTGTTAATTTTCCAAAAATAGACACTATATTTCATAGATAGATTCAAAAGCAAACATCGTGTTAATTAAATGACATTAAAAATAATAATAATAATAATAATAATAATAATAATAATAATTGTTTTCCTAAATTAATAAAATTTATCAATAATAAGCTTCGACTATCTCTAGTCACCAAAAAAAAAAAAAAAGTTCAACTATCTCGAAATCAATAAATGTTACTAGCATAAATTGTATAGGTGAGATGAGATTAAGGCAATTTTCTACTTCGTTATTTGGTAACAATTCTCAATGGTACTTTTCAATTTTTTATTTTTCTCAATGGTAAACATCAAAGAATTAAATTATCTTTGGTAATCAACAATTTGTGTTATTAATTCAGTGGTAATATTAATGAGATTAATTTATATTTATAAGTCTAAGTATGGTTAGCTAAAGGCAAAATGACTAATATGCCCTTAAAACCAGATTTTCATTTAATTTTTAACAATTAAATTATTTTTTTAAAAAAAAAAAGAAAAATCACCACCACACATTCCCCCAGCCGCCGACCTCCAGCCTCGATCCCCATCTCCCGGCGCCGGCCGCGCCTAGACCCTCCGGTGTCGGCGCCGCATGAACCACCGGCCCTCTCCCTACCCCTACGAACTCTTAACCCTTTAAAAACTATCCCAAACCTCGAAAAACCCCAACTGAAACCCCCAACGGCCGACGTCAATCCCCTAATCAATTCCATTTCACCCAATTCACACCAAATTTCCTCAATTACAACAACAATGAGCCCACAATTCCCTAACAACCTTGTTGATTCGACTTAGGGTTTGTGAAATTAGCTCCAAATTCATGTAACCTGTGCCAAAATCGACCCGATTAGTTGAAGCTGGTTTGATCTTCATCGAAACCATCGGAGGAAGTAGCGAGATAATCGGGTTTGGAGCAATCTTTGTCGGGTATGAAGATGGCTTTGGTGGTTGGGTAAGATTGGTCAAAGTAAAGAGAAGGGTTAGCTGTGATTTCGCCGGGGAAAGATTTCGACGCGGTTTGGGGTTGTTGGTTTCGGGTAGGGGGTTTCATGAGGAGGGAATTAGTCGGAAAATGGAGTGGAAAGGGAGGGGAAGGTGGCCAGGGAAAGGTGGCCGGAACAGGAGGGGAAGGAGGTGGCCGGATTTTATGGAGTAAGGGGTTGGCGGGCAGCCGGGCAGGGATGACAGGGGGGAAAAGGGGTGGTGGGTTTTTGTTCAATAGGGGTATTTTAGACATTTTTCTTTCCCCTCCCTTTTAAAGTTTAAACCATGGTTAAGATTTTCTTAAAATGTTTAACTAACGTTACCATTGAATTAGTTTTACAACTTATGGATTACCAAAGATAATTTGAGAATTTAGTGTTTACCATTGAGAGAGAAAAAAAAAACTGAAGAGTACCATTGAGAATTTCCCTAAAACTAATAATCCAAGTACAAACTAAAGTCGCGAGTCCCTTGAATTATGAAGTTGAACCTCATATGAAACCCAAAATCACAATAATAAAGGTTACATTTTTTTTTTGAACTTGCTATTTTAACAAAATTATACTACCTTTGTTAGATATTACTTGTATGTACAACTTTTGAATATATTATATCTCACAAATAATACCTAAAAGTAATATGTAAAAGAGGTAGTACATAGTTAACTCTTCAATCTTATATAATTACTCCATACTTAATTCGACGTTATTCCTACTCACAAGTTGAGTCAGCTAGACATTCGTGATCGAACAATTGCACTTAGTTTAGTATGTAGGGTTGTATGAGTAATAGTGCACGATATAAATGTATGTGATGCATGTAGGTACGTATCATCACTATATTAAATTCTTTGGGATTTACATTGTAGACATCCATTATTTCAAGTTAAGGTACTTCATTTGGAAACTACATAATATTTTTGAAAAATTATATAATTGTGGATTATATATTAGTAGTAGAGACTTAGAGTCTGTTCACATTTACTTAATTTCTATTCAGTTCAGCTCAGTTCAGTAAATGTAAACAGGCTCTTAGAGATGCAGGTAGTGTTAATCAGTGGGTACATAATATAGTACATCATGAATCATGATACTTCCATTGGCAATTAATAGTGGCTTATTATTTGGTACGACCGTACGAGTAATACTTTCCTCTACTTCATCAAATCTAATATGGGTCAGTCATTTTTGAGATCTTATACTTCCCTCGTCTTTTAATTATTGCACCATAGGGGTTGGGTATAAATATTTTGATAGTGGAAAAAAGTAAGAGAGAGAAAGGTAAAAATACAAAATTGCCCATGTGACATATTGATAGATTAAAAAGTTGTGTGAAAAACCAAGGGTATGTTGGGTATTTGTAGTGTGAACACAAATAATTTTTTTCTAAAGAGAAAATGGTGCAATATTTGTGAACCTTCCTAAAAAGGCAAGTGGTGCAATAATAAAATAACGGAGGAAGTAATAAAGTAGGCCAAAGGGTTTATTGTATCCAATATAACCTTTCTTAAGGTCTCAAAACATTGTGAAATGTTTTTGAGTTCTTCACATCGTCTTTGAACATCTAATTAAAAATGTATCCCCTAGATAAAGTTCTTACTTAAGTTTTTGAAATGAATTCATTAGATTATGAAGAACTACTATTTCCTTTTTATTTTTTATTTATTATTTTTTTAATTCACTAGATTATGAATTGAAGTATCCTTACCAAGTTTTTTATATTGTATTATATATATATCTATATATATATATATATATATATATCTATATATATATATATATATATATATATATATATATATATATATATATATATATATATATATATATATATATGTTTTGAAATAAACAAAAATACATGAGTAAAATTATGTCAAAAGTCTATATTACTTCCTCCGTTTTTTTAATTGACGCCGTTTAACTTCTACATTGTTCACAAACTTCACTTTTACTCGCTTTTGTGGTTTATAGATATGATAAAATATAATCATGTGAGATCTTATTTGAATCATATATATATATATATTATTAATATCCATTTTTTATAATTTTACAATTTTGATAATTAAAGTTATTAAGCGTTAAAAACATGCGTTGACAAACATAATAATAGAATGGTGTCAACTTCAAAAAAAAAAAAAAAAAAAACAAAGTATAATAGATTTATGACCCTTGTGAACTCGAATAACAAAAGAAACTAAATGTGCACATTTATATTATGGAGTACAAGCAATTTTTGTTTATTTATTTGGCATAACTCTACCGAACAAGTCAACCCTATCTTATTTTGTTGGTCAATTTCCTTGAAATTTGTGGGGGGAAGGAATTTCCTCAATGTGAAGCCGCAAGCCATTAAAGCTTGACCGCTCGATCTCATGACCTTAAGGCTATAAAATTCATTCTTTAATCACTAACTAATTATTTCTTTATAAAAATGTTAATTATTACTCCGCACAATATGTTTAATTAAATACAAACTTTGGGTTAATAACGCGATTTGAATATGACAAATAGCTCACTAGTGTCAATTAAATTACTACATCATCGATTTATTGTAAACCAAATGACAATATTAAAAACAAAAAGAGTGACGGTACGCTAGCTAATTCTATTGGGATTCAAACCTTTCAAGCTATACTAGTCACCTAGAAATTTTCAAATTTGGCTCCAATTATTTAATTTGAATGTTTGTTAAATAAGTTGTTGAGTTCAATATATAAATAGGTCCTAAGAATCCTTTTAAGGCAATAAAAAAAAATTAAAAATCACTAGTACATGTATAGTATAGTTTTTACAATTTGTCAATTCATGCAATCCCATTTCTCAAACAAGATTTCTATTTCTTTAGGCATGGGTGTCGTTGATTCATGTTCTATGGTCCTATTAACAATGATCACCGTGTGGTTGTTGTTTACACCTTGCCTTGCCGGGGATGGTAAGGCCGTAACACCATCCACAACCCTTGTAATCGCCTCCAATTGCTCGGACAAATGTGGAAATATTAGCATTCCATACCCATTTGGTATCGAAGATGGTTGTTACTTAGAACAACCCGATATTACACCTTTTTCTTCCTTTAAAATCAATTGTAGTAATCATAATAATACCCTTCCTACAATTTTTGGTACCAACTTTGAAATACTAAACATTTCAGTAAAAGAGGGTGATTTTCATTCTAAATTACCAGTTTCTTATGATTGTTACAACCAAAGCGGGTATGTAAATAGTTGGATGACTTGGTTTAACCTTGTAACGTTTACCTTATCTAGCACGAAAAACATATTAGTTGCTATAGGGTGTGACACTTATGCCACATTTTCGGGTGTTAGAGGTGACAAGGAATATGGAACAGGATGCATGACTAAATGTGTTGAGCCGGAGGATGTGATAGACGGCGAATGTACCGGTGTTGGTTGTTGTCAAGCCTCTATTCCCGGTGGAATTAACAACGTTACGGTGTATTTAGACAGTTTTAACAACCATAGTTCGGTGTATAGTTTTAACCCGTGTAATGTTGCATTTCCGGTTGCAAAAGATGTGTTTACGTTTAATAGAAGATATTTAAGTCATGATATGGAGTACTACCAAGGCTTGGCCCTTCCTGTAGTGTACAATTGGGCTATTGGACGTAACAATTGTTCAGTGGCAAAAGCAAATGGGACCTGCATGTGTAAAGAGAACGCGGATTGTTATGATCCGGTTCATGAATTGGGATATCGTTGTAACTGCAAAGATGGTTATTCTGGTAACCCTTATCTTCCACGAGGATGCTTAGGTAAATCTACACTTTCTTCACTTTTTTAAAAATTATAAAAGTTTGTCGTTTTGAAAAGTTTCACGAAGCTGCTAAAGGTGTGTTTATTATCAAAAATACGAAGGCTTTAGCTTCACCTAACCAAGTTCATCCTAATTATATTAAAATATGGAGTATGTTACGAATTCTAACATCAAATTGAACATTTTTGCGAAATTAGAGATGAACAAATACGAAGAATCTTCTAACATAAAAATAAATACTACTGACGACCTTATCAATAATAATTATTTACCATTGCATCTTATTATATTTATGTATAAATAATTGTTTAATTAATTGGACGAATTCTTCATTCAACTATACTAACACTATGTCACAACTCACAAGATAAAGACGACTAGAAGTATAGTATGTGCAACTAGCTAATGATTCTAAATTAAATACAATGCCAAAATTCTTAAAACAATATAAAAAAAAAAAAAAAAAAAAAAAAATACAATGCCATAAATAATTTATAGCTTGATAACTACACGGGCTACACCTCTGAAGTCTGAATGCATGCATTTTACTTAGCATATCTCTAATAATTTATGCAACTAGTTTAACTATTAATTATGTGGACTTTAAACAATAATGATTCATTTTTAACTAGTTAACGTTAATCTATATAAAATAAAATTCATTATTTTTTTTTTATCTTTATAATCTAATTTTGTTTTATGATTTGATTTATGGATTTTTCTTAGACATAAATGAATGTGAAGGGGCAAATGAGTGTGAGAAAATGGAATATTGCAGAAACACAATTGGAGGGTATTATTGTAAATGTCCTAAAGGCTACCACGGCAATGGGACTACAACTGATCGTTGCATTCCTCATGCAAAGCCTAAGCCTTGGCTCACTCCTGTCTTGGTCACTGCAGGTATGCCATAGCTCAAACATGTCATAGCTCTATTTCGTTTTATTTTATTATTATTAGCAACCCAAATAAATAAATAAGTATGTTCATGAGTTTTTCAAGCCGAGCTTTGCTGTATTTGGTTTGTGAAAGATACTCTTAAATCTAACATAACACAACTCATTGTCAGCTCTACTTTATAAATAATAATAATATACTTCAATTTAATGAGAATTTAAAACTGTGCACGAGTTAGCCAAATCATTGCACCTATTAATCCACTAGCACTTCGGCCTTATACAAGATGACTTAGCTTGCTATTGACCCACTCCAACTCGTCCAATAATCAAGTCTAGGTGCTTCTACAGCTATATATGAGCATATGTTGTATAGGAAAATTTGTCAGAAAAAACCTATTATAACCCTCTTTTTGTTAGACCTTTTAAATTTTTTTTAGCCAAAAGAAACCTATTTCTAAATTTTTTTTGTTGAAGACAACCAAAAACTCTAATTAACCCCTAATTAGCCCTAATTATCTAAAACATGTTATTTACTTAACTACTAAATCTTATTTAATTATTTAGAAATAATAAATACATTGATAAATTTTTTTTTTACAAAAAAAAAAAAAAAAAAAAAAAACTTAAACCACCCCCCAACCCCATCACCACCTGCCACCCTCCCCCTTCCACCTCCCCAGGTAGCAGCCACCCCCACTCTCACCTCTGTCGGCGAACATAATCCCTACCCCTCGCACCGGCAAACCCCCTCCCTACGCCCCCCCCCCCCCCATCACCCTCGCTCTTCTTTCCTTGAACCACCACCCATCTCCGACACCGACCAATAAGCCTCCCTCCTAAGGCTGGCCTACCTAGCCCAACCCCTCTCCACCGCGCCAACAGGAGACCCAACCCTCTCCCTTTCATCCATCGCGACGACCAGAGACCCAACCCCCTCCCTTTCACTCGCCGCAACCACCCGCCCCTTACTAAAACCTAACCCGAAAATTCTACCCCTCATTTCCACAACCATAAACGACCTCTCCTTTTTCCACACCCATAAACGACCTCCCCTTGTCGTTTGAGGGTGTAGGAAATGGAGTGGTGGTCGTTTTATGGTGGTTGTAGAGAGGGGTGGGAGTTTTGGGGGTTAGGGTTTAGTGACGGGTGGTCGCAATGGTGGTTCAAAGGAAAAGGAGGGGGTAGGGACTTTGCCAGCGCAGGGGAAGGGGAGGGGTGTGGGGGGTTTTGGTGGCAGGCGGGGGTGGAGGCGGTTGCTACCAGGTGGTGGCAGCTGGTAATGGGGGGTGGTTTATGTTTTTTTAATTTATCAATTTATTTTTGTTTTTTAATTAATTAATTAAGGTTTAATTAATAATTAGGGGTAATCATGGGTTAATTAGATTAATTAGAGTTTTTGGTTGTCTTCAACAAAAAAAATTTAGAAACAGGTTTCTTTGGGCCAAAAAAAATTTAAAAGGTTTTTTCTGACAAAAAGAGTGTTATAATAGGTTTCTTCTAACAAATTTTCCTATTGTATATTGTGTTCATCTCAAAATTTTAAATAATTAGAAAATTTTGTCAGAAAAAAACTATTTATAACAACTTTTTTGTTGGGAAAAACCAAAAAAAAAAAAAATTGACTAAAAACCAGATTGTAATTTTTTTTTGTTAAAGACAACCTGAGATCTCTAATCACTCAATTAACCTCTAATTTCCTGTTAATTCTTCTAATCACTCATAACTCTCACTTAACTATTAATAATTAAGTTAATTTAAAAACAGAAACCAACCCCACCACCACCAGCCAACCACCCCTTCCCTTTCCCCTTTACCCTTGTCGTAACCACCCTTCTAAACCCTAACCCGAAAATTCCACCCAATAGAGTGGTTGTGAGGCTGCAGGTGCGACCGAAGTTGGTGTTGGGGAAGGACAGAAGGAAACAGGTTGTGATGATGTGTGTGATGTGTTGTTGTGGAGGGCTAGTCGAAGCAGGGGAACTCGGCAGGCAACAACCAAGGTTTGCAAACACGGCGATGGATTAGAGGATTGTCGCCGAGAGTGGGGGTTATAGGCGATGGCTCAGATGGGGAGGGGGAAGGGGTGGCTGGTTGGTGATGAAATGGTGGTGGTTATTATATATATTAATTTAATTATTAAATAGTTTAATGAAAGTTTTGTTATTAAGTGAATTAGGGGTTCTTGGTTGTCCTCAACAACAAAAAAAAATTTAGATTAAGGTTTTAAGGTACCAAAAAAAAATTTATAAGATTTTTCCGACAAAAAAGGTGCTTTAAAAGTTTTTCTGACAAAATTTCCAAATAACTAACAGATTGCCATTTTTATTTGTAGGTATTGGTGGTGGTGCCGTAATTTTGCTTGTGATTGGATTTATCTTGCACTGGAAACATGGGAAAACACAACTCAAAAATATGCGAGAAAGTTATTTTCGACAAAATGGTGGTTTGCTCCTACATAGTAAACTCTCTGGACAAGATGTTGATATACTGAAAATATTTTCTATGCAAGATCTAGAAATTGCAACCGATAATTATAGCGACGAAAATATAATTGGAAGAGGAGGTTTCGGCATTGTTTACAAGGGAGTTTTGCCAAATAATCAAGTTGTTGCAATAAAAAAATCTCTCAAGGTGGATCCGAACCAAGTTGAGCAATTCGTTAATGAGGTTCTTGTTCTATCACAAATCAACAACAAAAATGTGGTCAAGTTACTAGGTTGTTGTCTTGAAAGCGAAGCACCACTATTGGTGTACGAGTTCATCAATAATGGGACGTTATATGATCATTTAGACGATCCAATCAAAGCATCCTTAATGAAATGGCATGTGCGCTTAAATATAGCATCTGAAGTTGCCGATGTGCTATCATATCTACACAATACAATCTCAACACCAATAATTCATAGAGATATGAAGTCGATGAATATACTCGTAGATGAAAGGTACACTGCTAAAGTATCAGACTTTGGAGCTTCAAGGTTGGTTCCATCAGACCAAGACCAGTTGGCAACAATGGTGCTAGGAACATGGGGGTATTTGGATCCCGAATATATGCAAACAAGTGAACTAACTCAAAAAAGTGATGTTTATAGTTTTGGTGTTGTTTTGTTGGAGCTATTGACTAGGAAAAAGGTAGTATCTAATGATAGACCCGAAACTGAAAGAGGCCTCGCTATGCACTTCATACTGAAGATGAAAGAAGGCCGATTGTTAGACATACTTGACAAATACATAGTGAGCGAGGAAACAGTTGAAGAAATACAAAAAGTAGCCATTTTAGCTAAATGGTGTTTAATGTTAAAAGGAGAGGAAAGGCCTACGATGAAGGAGGTTGCACTGGAACTCGAAACAATAAAAAGAAAAGGATCGCATCCATGGAGTAACAATGCATTGCTTCAAGAAGGCGATTGTGAATTTTTGCTCGGGGAACTTTCAAGATCAGATTATGGCGAATGTAGCATTGGTTATGACTCAAGTACATATGATTCACGCATGGTTTCATCTTTGGGTGGTGGAAGGTAACCGCAGTTGTATGGTTGCCAACTTATCTGTACAATGTTAACTGAAGTTTATTTATTTATTTATTTTGACGAGATATTGTAAGTTGTACTAAATCAAATTCAATTTTTTTTTCATGCATAATTTGTCTAAATTGCGTATCTATTAATCTAGATCTCACTCATACAAACTCCTATAAACATCCTTCCCTGCTAAGTTTTGCAGCAATTTCTGCTCTGTGTAAAAAAATAATAATTAAAAAAAAAAAAAATTTGCACAATAATAAAGTGAATTGGAGGAACTTACTTGAATAGAGGCTTAAGTAGGCAAACAGAAGCTTGTTCTTACTTCACAAGCCACTCACAAAAGCAAACAATCCAAATTTGTAGTATACAGAGCACCCAAAACTATGTTAAAGTTCAGAGAATGAGGAAACAAAGCATGAGGAACTATGATACAAATGACAATGACGATGCTAATCGTACATTGATGGATGAGATGGAGCTTATTTTTAAGAAGTGTCCATCAGAAAATGCACTTATTCTTAAGAAGTGTCTATCAGAAAATGCAACTTATTCTTAAGAAGTGTCCATCAGAAAATGTACTCTGGCATAACAAGCGGAAAACGAGCCACTTCAACCTGAAATGGATCACCTTTTGATTGTGCCAATCTAGCAAGGAAATGAGAATAAATTCAGCATCCATTAACCATATGATAGTAATGAGAAAATAAAACATGGTAGGCATAAAAAATTATAACAAGTTCGATATTTAAGAATTTCACAGCTGTGACAGTATGAGAATAAAACCAAGGAATCCAATACAAGTAACAGAAGTTCAAACTTAATTAGAGATTTTAATACCTTCCAGGAACAAATGTAAAAGAACCTTCAATGGAACCAGGTGTATGCTGCTGATTTGAGCAGCTTTCGTATACAAATTCTTTCTCACCAGGAAGCAGCAAAGGGTACTGCAAGGACAGCAGAAAAAAACTGTCAAAACTCAAAAGATTGAAGAATGTCATGTGAGCAGTTCAAACTTGAATAAGTTTATCTTTTCCAAACAATCTGACAGAACTTGTACACAACATTTGATAAATCATAAATGTTAAGAACCTTTTTTTTATCTAACTCTTACAGACAGGACTTTAGGCTACTCTCGAACTCTCAGCTGAGCATAATTTTTGTTTCTCAGCCTTAATAAAGAAATGGGAAATTCGAGATTAGAAACAGGGAAATAAGCTCTGTGAAATAAAGAGAGAAGCAAACTTCACATCTCTCAATTCATGCATCTATACCATCTCTTTTGAATGTTTTGATAGTCAAACTCCAAGTCTCCAAGGCTGCATACAAAGGTTGCTGATATCCATAAAAACATTACCTAAATTTAATGGGGAAAATCCCTGTATATCAAAAGTGCTAGAGTACGCACCTTTCTCTGATAGATCATTTAAAATAAAAGGTTGGTTCACAATATATTGTTCTATAGAAAGGTGCATTACTTCTTATGACCAATTGTAAATTTTGCTGGGTTATTGGAGGTTGTTTACCCCACTTTGACAATCGCACAACTTTAACTGACAGGATGTCATCCAACACCCTAGCTGATAGTTTCTTCCACACGAAACCATTATAATTTAAATATGTGCCACAAAAACATCCCCTAAACCATCATGCTTTAAGATCTGTGGTATTGCGACTAATGGATATCAAGAGCCAAGAGAATATGAAATTAATTTACTGGAATCTTAAAACTTGACATTAATAACATGGGCCTAAAAAGATCCAAATTATTAGAAGGTACACAACAGCCAACACAATAAACCAAATTGGTTCACCTGCTATCAGAGGACAAAGTACACAGAGGAACACAATAAAGATCCAAGTTCATATTCAGCAAGTTGAACTGAGGCCAACAAACAAGGTGTGCAAGGAGTTATTTGAAAACAGTGGCCAGGGTTATCTTTTAAGAACAGATTTGAAGAGTTTTCTACCAGGCACAACTGAAACAGTGAGCAGTACCGTATTGTGACTAAGCACGAGCACCCCCCCCCCCCCCCGCGCACGGGCCCCAACTCGTTCTTTTTCTTCTCCTCAGAAAAAAGAGCAGGCAACGCCGAATTTGATATATTTCTTGAAGTAGTACATAGAAGCACAGTGGCCACAGATCTCCAGATCACGCAAATAACAGAAGTCCATCACCAATCAAAAATTTGGTGCCAATATCCAAAAGAGACTTGAGAAGAAGCCTACACAGTAAAGAGCTTAGTGGCTTAGTGCACCTAGTGGATGCTGGTCCAGGACTGCGAAACTTTCTAAATCCTACTTCTCTCATCAGCTGAACGAACTAGAACTATCGTATAGTTCCTCGAGGTCTGCTCAAGCAAATCACCTATCCGGCAATTCGATATTGACAAGCACAGTTCGAGAACACGAAAGGAAAAAAAAAAACTCACTTCCTACCATACCCATAAGATAACAATTAGATCAGGAAAAAAAAGGGATCAACTGGCCGATGATGACAAACCAGGAGCAGGCATGGCATGCTCTCTTATAAATAAGAAATTGAATGTCTGTAATGAGAAGGTGAACACTTGCACCAACAACTACAATAAGATGGTTTTCTGATTCCAGCTATAGTTATGCAGTCTTGTAAATTAATGATAAATTCATATTGAAGAATCCAGAGCATAGACAGACTTAATTCAGAAATGGCCTAAAAGATGAATAGGTAGGCTGCACAGGCCTCATTGCAAGCTCTCATGGATAAAAGCATAGGGATGAATCAATTTCAGTCACATTCATAGAAAAAAGGCAATTATGCAAATTATAGATAAAAGCTACCTTTCCTATGACAGCTACTCCATCAACATCGTGCTTTACAACCTCATTTTCTCGGATGATCCAACGTCTCCGATGAAGTTGACAAGAATCGTATGTCATTCCATGTACTTTACATCCTTCAGGCAAAAGGGACAACCGGATTGAGTAAGCAAACATAAATTCTGGGCTTCCAAGTTCACTTTGCTCTGGAACAAGAACAGCAGATGCACGTACCTGGCATTAACATTCCAATTATAAGATGAAGTTGATGTTATGAGAAAAGTAAAAGGAATTAAAGCAAGCATGAAAACAGGTTTATAATTTCAAGTGCAAGTACACCAAACTTCCAATTTGCTATTTTAAAAAAATGGAAAAACCATTAACAGTCCTAACTATTGACATCCTTCATTAAACAGTCTTAACAAACGTGTCAAAAGGTGCTGGAACAGTCTGGTCAATCTCCAAATACTTAAGATTGTTCTTAGTTAATTAAAAAGATATTGCATGCTATGAACAAAGATAGCACTTCATACAAGTATATATTCTGAACCCTATAGATCTCATTTTAGACACTCAACATCTATGACACAAATTCATTATTGGTTGACTATAGGTAAAAACATTACCTAGTTCAGAAAACAAGTAATCAAATGTTTGTTTACCAATCAAGTCTTCTACATCAAATATCCTACTAAAATGAAATATTTCCATGCTCAATTGAGAATAAGGTAGTAAGTTCACTTCAACTCTTTTAAAGAATAATTATCTCTTGGAGCTAGAAGTAGAATGAATAGAATGTAGCTACTTATATTTCACCACAAAACATGGAGCATTTACACATAGTTGCTAATTTGTTATCATGCTATTTTATAAAACAAAGCTTATTTCAGGATGCATAAAAGACCTTTTCAATATGTTTACTTTTTAATTTAGCTACTGTACCTGTACACCATTTGTCACAGCAGTTGAACAGAGAGGTGGTTTTTCTGGAAACTGACTAATGCTTTTCAGATTTTCTTTCTCAAGAACTGTAATCATACCACTGTGCAAACGGCGGCTATGTTCTTCCAACCACAATAACAGTCCATCACACTGTTGATTACTATTAGACTTCAATAACGCATCAGGAACACAAGGCATCATTTCACCATCTCCTCTAAGCATAGCAGTGCCAACATACAGTTGATTATTCACACAATTGAGGCAGAAGACCTTTTCACTTCCTTTAACAGAGGAAGCTACAGCAATAAACTTGGAAGCATTAGAAAAACCTAAATCACGTTTTATGCTCTGTGACTCCATAACAGCATGCCTTAAAGGCAGTATGTTCACATTCACCAGGTGGTTATACACAAAGTACCCTCCAATAAGACCCAACAGGTTCTCTGAATATTCCTGACCATCATGCAAACGATAAATTAATCTTGTTGGAAGAGGCAATTTCACTTTTAAGCTTTTCTCCACATCATTCAACTCCTCCTCTGATGCACCCTTTCTCAAAGTTGCAAGCACCTCCGGAAAATTGCTTCCCAACCAACTTTTAAGACTATCCCAACACCTTTTGATACATTTGACAAGAGGCCAGGGATACATAATGAAAGCTTCCCTCCATAGTCGATAAGCTACCTAGGGAGACCAACAATAATCCAAATTGAGATCAGCAAGTAGACAATCTTTCTTATTGTGGGGGAGAACGGAGAAAGAAAAGATTAAAAGATAATGATTTAACAAGGATGCAGCCAACAAGCAATCAACAAACACGTGAATAGCGAAATTTTCAACTTGCTAAATTGTCATCTTACATGTCTAAAAGTCTACCAATAATTCTTGGAGACAGAAAGATAGAAGTACAAAAGTACCATTTCACAAGAAAAAACTCGGCATATGTCTTCCAGTTGATGAAATCTTTCTAGGTAACAAGACACGCAAAATTAAATCTAAAGTAAATGGTATTGGCCGACCTAGACGACTGTGTACAAGGATGAAGCATACATATCCTCTCCAGATCATACTTTGAAGAAGCGTTGCAAATTAATACTCTGTAAGGGTCCCAATAATGGACTATATATCATATATATGTACATTGGTCCAATTTTCAGCCAATATACAAGAGAAGATCGATGTGACTGACACAAGCTTTTAATATTCTTGCTTACACAAATAAGTATGCCACTCAAAACATCCCATAATCGCCACAAAGTTATAACACTCTTGCTTACACATATGAGTATACCACACAAAACATTCATAATTTCCTAATTTATTCAAATACACAAAACAATTCCTAACTATATGAATGGATCACACTTACATAGTCAAACATTTTCTCATGGTCAGACCATAGTAATCCCATTAATATCATA